AAAATAAAATAAATAATATATTTAAAGAGTGATGGTGCATCTGGCACCACGTGAAAAGAAAAAAATATATATATAAAAAGTGATGGTGCATCTAGCACCATGTGCAAAAAAAAAAAAAAAAAATATATATATATATATATATATATATATATATATATATGATAAAAATGGAGGAAAATGGTGGAGCATCTGGCACACCAGAAAAAAAAAAAAAAAAAACAAATGCATTAAGAGAAATAAAAGTCCATTTTATTTTTTTTTTTTTGGAAATTTTACATAAATTTGCATTATACATACCTAAAAAAAAAATCAAATCAAATTTACAAGACGGGATCTTCAAGGACGATCAGGTGGCGCCTCACCACTCGGCCGAGCTCCAGAAATGAGAGGCGCCGGAGGTTGACTGTTTGAAGCCACACCACTCGGCGGAACCCCAGGAGGAGAAGGCACCGAAGGTTGATCATTTGAGGCTTCATTACGCGGTACAGCCCCAGAAGACAAAGGCAAATGCTGCTGGAACAAACCCACAAACCTCTGATGATCAAGTAAAATCTGACCATCAGATTCCTGCATCTGGTCAATCTTCCTCTTCATGTTTGTCGCATAGCTATGTGCGAGCTTATGCAATTGTTTATTCTCCTGCTTGAGCCCTCTAATCTCCTGTTTGAGACTCGTCACTTCAGCCGCCAATGATTCAACTTGACGGGTTCGAGCAAATAGGCGTTGGGCCATATTAGACACAGAACCTGCACACTGCACACTGAGAGCCAGAGAATCCTTAACAGCCAACTCATCAGACCGTTTGGAAAGTAGTCTGTTATCTCTGGGAGTGACAAGGTTTCGGGCCACCACCGCAGCGGTCATATCATTCTTCACCACCGAATCCCCAACGGTAAGAGGACCAGTAGGGGATATGAAGGATGGGCGCCATATGTTATCTGGAGAAGACGGGACTACCTCTTCACCAAGGTTCAAATCAAAACGACGGTCGGAGGGTCCAGACATTTTCAAAGTGTTGAAGAAAGAAGAGGTCAGACAAATCAAGATCTTAGAAGTGCAAGAAGGGAGTTTCTACAAGCGAAAATTCAAGTGTGCTTTGAAACGAACTGCGTGCCTCTATAAAGATCAACACTCGACGGGATTTCAAAGATCGAAGAGGCGAGCTCAGAATTCGGAGAGGCTAATTCAAAAATCAAAGAGGCAAGCTCAGAAATCGAAGAAGCATCTTGCTTTTCCAGACGCGTTAGCACCCGTCACACGCAAACTCAGCTTTGCGGAAATCACGGGCAATTTGTCGAAGCACCGATCCCAGATATCAAAGAGGCGCCAGTTTTTTTAGCCTCGTCAGCACCCGTCACGCGCAAACTCAGCTTTGCGAAAATCACGGGCAATTTGTCGAAGCGCCGATCCCAGATATCGAAGAGGCGCCAGTCTTTTTCAGCCTCGTCAACACCTGTCACATGCACACTCAACTTTGCGCAAATCACGGGCAATTTGTCGAAGATTTTCGGTGAATGAGAAAACACGTGAAGTTTACTGTTCAATCATCCAACGGTTGCCGACAAGAGTGAAAGAACAGTACCGGTTATTAATCCATATAAATGTCCACCTTCACCCTTCATAGCAAGGCAGACATACAGAACCTTTCTTCATCTCCGAGGATGCCTTCCGAACGAAGCCTCTCGGGTCACTCAGTGTTCCTTATTCCTTAGGGTACCTCTGCAAGCCAATGACTCCAAAGCAAAAGTATCTCATATCACCAGGGTAGAAAACAAGAGTATCTCATATCATGCGTTCTCCCTGTCATTTCCTTTGTCCTTGTTCCTACCTACAAAGACAAAGATAAAGAAAACAATATGCCGGAACTTCCACTCAAACTCGGGTAAGGAACCGACTGCTGGGAACCCTTCCCTGATTGCCTACCTAGCACTGCTCTCGAGTACTCGTCTCCTACTACTGCTGTACTTCCAAAGAAGCTGCCACATCTGCCTGAAAAACAGATAAGGCAAGTGAAAATGATACCTTGCAGCATGTGGAGACAACGTGCAGAAGAAACAAGCAGAGAAGAATGCAGCATACACAGTCAACTCAGCAGAAGGAGTCTGAGATGAGGAACTCGAGAAGATGCCACATCTGCCTGAGGAACAGATAAAGGAAATGAAAATGATACCAATACCTTGAAGCATGTGGAGACAAGTGCAACAAAGCACGTGCTGAGTCATCCGCTACTTCTTCAAAAATCAAAAGTATCTCATATCATCATCAGGGGTTGCAATCATTCTGGACGGTGAATTCGTTTTAACCCTCAAATTCTTGGGTCGGCTTACTAGGCGTTGTGAGCTGCACGTGTCGATTCACCACCCTTGAATCAAATCCTTAAAGATCAAGTCACCAACTGGAAGAAGAGCCCATCAATCTTGAAGATTATACCGTTGACCAAACTGCTCAGGTGTGAATTAGAAAGATTGAACAGAGCAACAAGTCGTCACCTTCACCTCGTGCTTGCTTGTCATGTGTTCGAGTCAACCTTCAAGAATTAAGCCTCAACGGCATTTGAAGAAGTTTCCAGCCAAATTCAAGATCAAGCCTCAACGGCCCTTGAGCAAATCACAAGTCCGATTCAAAATCAAGTGTCTACCACTCTTGAATCAAAACCTAGTTCAAGAATAAGCTGTGGAAAATCAACAATTGGAGGAATCCAGAAAATACTCCAACCCAGTTCAAGATCAAAGCTGTGGAAAGTCAACAAAGCGCAAAAAAAAATACGTGCCGATTCATCCACTACCAAAGCCAAAGATCATCTACCACATGAAACTCCTTGGGTCCAATTTCAACCTTCAAGATCAAGCCTCAAACGACCCTTGAAGAAATCTCAAACAAAGTCCAAGAACAAGCCTCAACGGCCCTTGAAGAAATCTCCAACCCAATTCAAGATCAAGCCTCGACGGCCCTTGGATCGGCATCTACATTAAGGGACTTCAAAACACATCTCCTACACATGACAAGCACATGTATACGACGCGCCTTGAAGTGGGGGCATTTGTAGACATCGAAATTTCGGTAAATAAATGTTGACCGATAAATCAAAGTTTCAGCGCTCATGTATTACATAAATTTTACACGTAGCGTGTGTCCAAACAAAAAATCGAGAATCATCAGAAAAGTCATCAAACAGGACACGTGTCAACACCTGGCAGAAACGACTTATTTCATATGGAATATTATATTCAAAATTAGGCCTTGGAAAATTCTATAAATAGAAGCCAATTTCATTCATTTAGGGAGGAATTCATATTACACCTTGAAGCTCTGAAGCTCTGAAACTCCGAAGCTCTCAAGCATCCAAGTTCCCGAAGAATCAAGAAAGCCTTCTTCGTTCTTCGTTCATCGTTCTTCCAAGATCAAGCCTCGACGACCCTTAGATCAACAATCACCAACCCAAGATCAAGCCCCGACGGCCCTTGGATCAACAATCACCAACTCAAGATCAAGCCCCGACGGCCCTTGGATCAACAACATCAACAAATCCACACATCCAACCGTTCTTCAAGATCAAGCCATATTCAAAATTAGGCCTTGGAAAATTCTATAAATAGAAGCCAATTTCATTCATTTAGGGAGGAATTCATATTACACCTTGAAGCTCTGAAGCTTTGAAACTCCGAAGCTCTCAAGCATCCAAGTTCCCGAAGAATCAAGAAAGCCTTCTTCGTTCTTCGTTCATCGTTCTTCCAAGATCAAGCCCCGACGGCCCTTGGATCAACAATCACCAACCCAAGATCAAGCCCCGACGGCCCTTGGATCAACAATCACCAACTCAAGATCAAGCCCCGACGGCCCTTGGATCAACAACATCAACAAATCCACACATTCAACCGTTCTTCAAGATCAAGCCCAAAAGCCCTTGAAGATCCGTTCATCACCGTTATTCAAGATCAAGCCTTAACGGCCCTTGAAGAAACACTCATCCTCAAGATCAAGCCCCAACGGCTCCTTGAAGATCCGCTCAAATCCACCTTCAAAGATCAAGCCCACGGCCCCCTTGAAGAAACTTCCAACAGTTCATCCAAGATCAAGCATCGACGGCCCTTGGATCAACGAAACATTCACAAATCAATACCTTACGGAGATCGAATAAGAGGATCAAAATAGAGAGAGATTGTAACCCTAAATCATCAAATACAAATATTTTGTTTGTGTACGTTGTTCTTGTCGCTTTCGTTTCAGGAAATTTTCGTGTTCACAATAACGTTGACCGATGCTCAGTAATTTCGGGATTGGCCAAATATGGTACAAACAGTTTTGTTCTTTAACATCTCCAAAACGATAAGGATGATGTATATGCCTGCCTCCCAAATAAGCTGTATAAAATTTTAACACAAGATTTCCATTGGTCCATACCTCAATATAAAACTCACATAGTCTAAAGTAGTGTCCATCCTACAATTGCTATGCCACTTGTACATTATAAAAACTAAACAAATAAAACAAATCAATAGGCATGGATTGCCTATGTGATTTTTGACAGTAATATTATGGACAAGTCTATTTACGGGTGTGCTATCCACACACCCTATTTTACTTCTTACACACCCCTTGATAATTTTTGTCTATTGATCTTCTTCAATTCATCCAATTCGACGGCCGAAAATTAAAAAGGTGTGTGAGAAGTAAAATAGGGTGTGTGGATATCACACTCCTTTATTTATCATGAGAAGAAATAGGGATTTATGAAAAATTGAGCGCAGAATATACAAAGTCATTTTCAATAATTCTATATTTTGATAGAGATATGAAGGATTGGGCATGGAATATACAAACTCCTCTTTAATAATTTTATACCTTGATTTTTCAGATATAAAGGTATAAGGTACTTGGATTCACGTTCTTTTCATTCCTTTTAGTAAATGGGCATCATTTTCAAAACCTTGATTAATAACAAATACCGAATACAAATTATAAATTGCTCAATCCTTGTAAATCTATTTCTTTGTAAACAAACATGACCTAAACTTCTTCTAGTACTAGAATCAATAAAGCTCAAAGCTTCCATGGACATGAGCAATATGCCATGCACCACCCTCCACTAACCTCTCTCTCTCTCTCTCTGTGCATTCGTGTTGACAAATTTATCTTTTCCTTTTCTTCTTTACTCCAAAAGACCAAGACCAAATATTTATAAATATCTCATTCCCTCCCACTACAAATTGCCCTTCTCAAAGAAAGACAGTTTCCTTTGCCTTCTTCTTTCCACTCCGCACAAAACAAACCCCCTCATTCCTTCTGCCCTTCCCTTAATATATTCGCCTTAATTTCCTCCTCCTCTCACACACTATACATGTCACCCTTGCTCCTTCACACCACCGATTGTTAATACTATCTCTCTCTCTCTCCCTCTCTCTCTCCCCAGACCTTGCTATATATATTTAACATCTCTCTCACTAGATCTGGCTGTGGAGAAAAAATGGGCAACTGTTTAGTTCTCTCCAAGGAGGACAAAGTTTTGAAGGTTTTGAAGACAGACGGGAAGGTTTTGGAATTCAGAGCGCCAACCCTAGTTAAGGACATTTTATCGAACTTTTCGGGCGTCGGTATCGGTTTATCAAAGCAAGCTTCGGAGCAGCTTTCCCCTGATTGCAAACTGAAGCCCGGGAAGGTTTACTATATGACTCCCCTTCCGGGTTCTGCAGAAAATGACAGTGCTGCTACAAGAAGGATTAAGATGGTCATAACAAAGCAACAGCTTCAAGAGCTACTTACAAAGAAAATATCAGTACAGGAGGTACTTTCAGATTCAAAAATTTGGAAACCGAAGCTCAAATCCATCCCCGAAGAAATCGAGTAAAGTAACTATGGTTACGTTCCGGCGTATAATCTTCATGATCTATGGCTGATCATATACACTTTTGCTTCAAATGTTCTTAGCTTTTCAATAATTTAGTCTTTCTTGTATAACACGTAATGAATGAATGGTCATTAATATTTTCTAGTCATGCAGCACGATCTTTTGTGGACCTGTTAGGTAGGATCTTGGTAAGCACTCGGCGAGACACAAAATCTATGGTTAACAATTAATTAGTAGAAGTGTTTGCGTGCTTTTTACACATTGCCTTTAAACAATTCAACGTTGATTTTAGGTATTATCAAAGAAATAAGTCATGCTTTTTTGGCTTTTCCCCAAATATAGACGTTAGATGGATTCATGTTCTTGCCACTGCATTTGGAACATTTTTAGAAAGAAAAATTGTGGAAGATGTACATCAAAGGAAAAATTGTGGAAGTTGTACATCAGAGGACGTAATGGATATAAATCTAGAACAGTAAAAATTAGATCTAGCACAGCAAATTCAAACTTTGCAGGTTTGGGCCTCGAGATCCAATTTAAGCTCATAATATGCCACTTAATATTACGATTTAATAATATTTCTCTTTATTTATAAGTGAACCTTAAGTTCGATTCTCATCTTTGAACCACATTATTACTAAACACATCCTCACTCCTTTAGTATAGATAATATCGTTTGACAAGCTACCCTTCCATCCAATCTGCCATCCGTATAAATGCTTGATAATTTAATCTTCGATTTAATTCGGGATTTAAAATATTTATTACCATGTTAGAAGCAACTTTACATAACGTAACAAAGCACAAGAAAACAGACCAAAACAGCACACAATATCTAGTGTACGTCCATACAAAACCAGAGGCGGCTCAGGCTTTTTCACTGAATTGCAACGTCAATAACCTTGCGTTCAACTTTGGTCTTAGGAATGGCTATGTAGAGAACACCATTCTTGAACTCCGCCTTGATCTTGTCCTTCTCCAAATTATCCGGCAGCTGAAGGCGGGTATTGTAGGAGCTAAAGCTCCTGCCCGACCACGAATCGTCGCCGCCTTCTTCCTTCTTCTGCTCTCCCTTTATAACTAGCACATCGTCCTCGACCGACACCTTCACGTCCTCCTTCGAAAGCCCCGGCATGTCGAACCGCATTTTGATTTCGTGTTCGTCGTCTTTGATGTCCCAAGGCGCGCGCACTTCCCCTGCTGCTCTGTTTCTTCCCGGGAATGCCACCGTGTCTTCGAAAAGCCGGTCGACTGTGTCCAGCATTTGCCGCATTGTTCTCACTGGGGAGATGGGATCTAATAGACCTGCAAATTAATTGGCACCTGATCATTTTAGATGATTTTTTACTAAGCAGTATTTGATGGCTTAGGACAATTCAAAGTTGTAACTTTAAATTATCTGATTAGTTAAAAGCTTTGGATTTAAGTTTTAAGTACCAAATTTTGGAAAATTAAATCACGTAAAAATAATCAAGGGGACGGATCCAATGGCACCATTTTTTTTTTACACACATGTTTTTGTTTTTGTGAAGCCCAATTTGTAACGTTTAAAAGCATCCGAACCGGTTATATTTTAGGTCTACTCTAAGAAATTATCTTACCATAAATCATTATTTGTAAAACTTTATTCGTCTATTTTTTTCATTATAAATAAATACGATAGTAGTTCTGAATCTATCTAATTTTTTTTTAAAAATAATTTATGAATAATGTTCTAAAAAAATAGACAATTCTAATCGTTATAAAACATTAAAAAAATGGCCCCAAAAACATGTGTGAAAAATTGTGTAGAAAAAATAATACCACAAATCCACCTCCAATAATCAATCATGTAAAAAATAAGATAAAAGCTAAAAAAATTTATCATAAATGAAGTTTTTACAGTGTGAAAAACAAAAGTCGTGCACAGATAATTTTTACGATTTCAAGTGAAAAGTTTAAGACCAAGACAGACTTAAAAATTCACGCGTGGATATCATATCAATTTTATTGAGTATGCATCATAGGTTTTGGTAGATATATGTCACATGTTACATAAATAATTCGTTCTATATAAAGAAGAGTAAACTAATGAAAAAGATTTGAAAACTTTGAGTTTTAATAATAAAGATAAAATAAAGGGTAAAGTGAATAGTACCAAAATTGACTTTTTAGTGTAAAAATATAATTTTTTGTTAAAATAAATAGTACCGGATGCTTTTCGTTAAAGTTCTAGACGTTGGTTTTATAGCCGGACTAATTTTCCTATGTTTTCTCATCGCACGACTTTCCGCGGTTCAAAAAAGTCAAAATTGATTGTTAGACTTACCAAAAGGAGAAATATCCACAGCCAGCCTCCTTGGCCTCCTCTCCACATCAGTCCCTTGGTTGCCCTGATTGACTTGCACGTCCAACTTGCCGTCTCCACCGGCCTGAGCTTTCACCACCGGCAGCCTATTCCACCGCGACGGAAAGGCGGCCGAAGATGGGAGAGTGGCGTTCGCTGTTATTGAAGACCTTGCTTTGTTTGAAAGCAAAGGTGACGAAGAAGACAAAGCCAATGTTGAAGCCATGTAACTAATAGTAACACAGAAAGTTAGCAAGCTTCTCTTTTGTGGGTAACTACAACTTTCAGATTTCTTGGTGAGGTGGGGAGTTATCTTTGTGTATATATAGAGGTAACGGGATTGCGGGAAGAAAGCTTGGAGAAGGGTCTTGAATGTTTGAGAGAGAGGAAGAGAGAGAGAGGGAGAGTTATGGACCGAACACTTGTAAATTTTACATTTTTCTTGGTCCGTCTGGAAGGATCCATCTCTGTATGGATAAAGATTGTGATTTTGTTATTAGACCCTTCTAATTTTAAGATATTTTCAAACGGGAAAGGGATCATGTCCGGATCTCTTCCTTTTAATTCATTAAATTCAGGAATTCGAACTATTGAAATTTAATTCAACAGCTAAAGTTATTATAATTTTTAAAGTGAGCCTCTGTTTATAGTCGTTGGATCAAATTTTAATAATCTGAATTCTCGAACTTGATGGATTAGGAGGAAGGGATCCGGAGGATTCCTTTCTTTTCAAACGAATCCTTGTTTTGTAGTGTGTTTTTCAGTACAAGGTTGTGATTCTGCCTTCTCCACAAATCCATCTCTGTCGTTTTGCTACTTATCTCTTTACCCATGTAATGGAAAGTTATAAGAACATCCCCATATTAAAGAAAAGTTTTAGTGGTAACTCTCTTAGCCGGAAGGGGAATAACTTTCGCTCTACTGAAATGCTACGTGTCGATATTTTAAATTAACATGAACGAGAAGAACTTTCGTGAAACTTCAATGTTATGATATTAAAATATTTTCATGAAAATGAATATATCACATGTTTATAAATAGATTTACGCAAGAAAGTTAAAACACACGATGTGTTAGAAGCCTGTAACAATTATTTGTCAAAGTTAATTAGGAAGTAGGATTCTCTTCTCTATTTTTTTTTTCCCTTCCCTTCCTTTCCTTTCTATTTGAACGGTCATGGTTAAGTCACGTCAACATCTTATATTATTTTTTATACAAAAAGAAAGACAAAATAGAAAATGTAAAAAAAAAAATGAAAAGGGATGAAAAAAGAATGAGAGAGAATCCTACTCCGTTAATTAGACATTAGAGCCATGCTTGATTTGTTTATAGGGGCTATTTGCCAAAGTTAATTAGGCATTATAGTCCCCTATCAACATGACATAATCATTCACGAGCTAGCAAAGCAATAGGAGCTACTTTGAGTCATTTGACCACCTGTGGACAATTTGGGGCCATCTATGAGTCAGCAGAGTTTTTGCTTTTTTGGCTGGAAATTTTTTCTTTAATTTTTCTTTTTTGAAGTTTTTAATTTTTGGTTTGGCACTTGGCACAAATGAGATGAATTCAAATCCTCTTAGAATCTCACACTCCGAAACTTATGAATTGGGCAATCCAAATCGGTTAAGAGAGAGATATGAAGGTATTGAAGTGCGAATGTGCATGAGGTGGAGCAATTAGATGAACTAATAAACGATCTGAATTACTCGGTCCACCAGTTATTGAATGTGAGATTTGGAAAGAATCTCAAGTCCAGACGAGATGCGACTGGATATTTTTTTGTTGTTTCTCTTTGGTGATGTTTATGGAAGGACTGTTGTCCAGCAACTGACTTTAAATATTCACCCACCTTTAAACACACAGAAACAAAGAAGACAAAGAGTTCAGAGAATCCGAGAAACTTTGACTGTTCTGCAATCCAAAAACCCTGCACTCAAACTGCATCTCATCTTTAACTCTTATCAAGAAATCCAAATCCTCAAAGGAAACACGCGTAAGAAATTGATGATTGTATGATTAATCACATTTTACTGTACTAACTTTTAATTATCTTACACTTTTGTAGGCTTGCAGCATCTGTGTCCCAAGTCTATCACATAAATTCATAACATGATTTGTTCAAGAACGATTGTGCTGTTTGATTATGACAACTTTAATACTGATTGAGAACATTATTGAGTCACGTGATGCCTCATATTTTCGTGAAAATTATTTTATAAATGACGCGGTCCGAGTGCCTCTATCCAAGTTTACCTCTTGCTTTAGGAGGACTCATTTATAGTCATGAAGATCTACGGCACCATGATCTTAACATCTCGGTTTCATGTAAATCTCGCCCCTACTTTTGTGTACAATTCTTTCATGACTCATTGAGTTGTTAATGAAAAAACGTATAAAGCAAAAGAGCAAAAGGTAAAAACCCTCCTCCCCATCTTTGCTTCAGCTTTCTGCACTATCGAGAGCATTCACTCTTTCTTGTTCTCTATAAACTCTCCCTCTCGACAAGTGACACAGTGCCCCATTAAAATCCTCCATGCCACAAGAAAACACCATTCCTTCCCTTTATCGTTGTATACACTGCAACATATATTAACGTTACACTTACATGTATACATATACATATACATGTATATATATATATACATACATATACGCACAGTACAAGGCCTGCACTGCAGCTGCTGCTGCTCCTAAATGCATGGACTAGCAGAAGCATAACCCCACTTGCAGAGCCATAATTTGTTCTCTATTCCCCTCTCATTAATTACATCTCTGCGTCTGAAGGTACGGCATTTATTCAAAACATATCAACTTCTCAAACAAGAAGTTCCTATAAAGAAATCCTCACGCTTCATTGTTTCATCATCTGGTATTTACCATTTTTGTAGTTTTTTGAGGTATATTTTACTGGTCAGCATTTTAATGGGGAAGACCGGAGGGAGCTCCTGGTTGACTGCGGTCAAAAGGGCTTTCTGGTCTCCTACCAAGAGTGACAGAACCAACACTAGGAGGAGAGAAGAACTGCAGGAACAAGAGGAAGAAGAAAAGGTACAAACTTTGTTGCAGGTTTTGTATGCAGAAGAGTGATTTTCGCACTCTCGTCTCCTTTTTGCGCTCCTCCTTTTATAACCTTCGAATTGAATAGATCGAAGAAGAATCAAAGGACTCTAGCAAGAGAAGTAGTGCAGAAGGAGAAAAAGGGAGAGTGAAAATATTTGCCGAACCAAATTTTCAAAACATGTTTCTGTTTAGTTTTTTAAGTATGCTAAAAACCAAAAAAGTTGCTTGATTGGAGTACAAATTTTCTTACTTCTATGAGATCTGTAAATGAGTTTTGTTTCGGGTTTGCTTTTCGCAGAAGAGAGGAAAGCGGAGATGGATTTTTAGGAAGCCTACGAGCCAAGAAACGTTTATACATGTACAACATAGTGAGAGTCCAAGCTCTGCTGCTGATGGCGGAGCAACCACTCGAAATGCAACTATGGCAGCTCATGGTGAGGCTGGTGATGCTCTTGCAACGGCCGTGGCCACGAAAGCGGCGGCTCAGGCAGCAGTTGTCATGGTGCAAGCGGCTGTCAAAGCTGTTCGTCTTACTAAATCTAATTGCAGGCCTTCCATTTTCGTTAGAGACCATGCTGCCATTGTTATTCAGACTGCCTTCAGAGGATATCTGGTACTTAACCATAATTAGTCATTAATTAATTAAGTTTTACCCTCCCGTAAATTAGAGTAGTTTAAATTGTGACACTGATTCTAGCTAGCTGGTGCAACTGAGCATTAACTAATTTGATTGCGGTTTTGAAGGCGAGAAGAGCTCTTCGGGCGCTGAAGGGGCTGGTGAAGCTTCAAGCACTGGTGAGAGGCCACAATGTTAGAAAGAGGGCAAAGATGACTCTGCAATGCATGCAGGCTCTGGTTCGAGTGCAAGCTCGTGTTCTTGACCAACGAACGAAGAGGCTTTCGCACGAAGGCAGCGCAGATTCCATTTTCAGTGATCCCACTGGCTTGTGGGGATCACATTTCTCAGACAGAAGGGAGTCCATTGTAAGATACTTTTTAATGTTCTTGTTAGGAGTTAATGCAGTCGATATAGCTTGTGATACCACAAATTTTGTCTGAATAAGCTAATTGTACTGTATCTAATGCAGTCGAAAAACAAAGAGAGGAGCGCCGCGGATGATTTGATCCATTGGGACGATGTCAAACCGAAAACATTGGAGCAGATTCAAGCCATGTTGCAGAAAACAAAACAAGCTGCCTTGAAGCGTGAAAGGAGTACCAGCCTTGCTTATGCCTTCTCTAACCAGGTCTTTGATCTACCTCAATGTTATGTCTCTCTCCCTAATTAGTATAAGTAGCTCATAATTTGTACTTACAGTTATGTGTACGGTTTCATAAAAATTCAGAGATGGAGAAGTAGAGGTAGCGGCGACGAAGATGCCGGTGAGCATGAGGAGCTAGAGGAGAAGTTTGATTTGCTTGATGGTTGGACAAGAAGAAAGCAATGTGAGATCAATGGAGGCAGAGCTTCATGTGATCAGAGAGATCCCATCAAGACCGTTGAAATCGACACTTCTCGACCTCACTCTTATTCGAGTACCCCGAATTCCAATTCCAGAACCAAACGATCAGATCAATGTAAGTATCAGAGCCATCATCTGCGGTATAATTATCAACAGCAAAGAGTTCATCCGCAGTCATATCCAGTTGCCTCTCCTCAATCACCCGTCACGCCATTTTCTTCCGTGGCAAGAAATCTACAAGTGCACTCGGCTAGTCCCCGTTGCCTTCGTGGAGATCATAGGATTAACCACCCAATGCCGGCATCACATAACTTGAACTTAGGCTCAACGAATTACGACCACGGATTAATGGGGGTGCCAAACTACATGGCTGCTACAGCATCAGCCAAGGCTCGGATTCGGTCTCAAAGTGCACCGAGGCAAAGGCATTCAACAAGCGAGAGAGAAAAGTCAGGGTCCGCGAGGAAACGCTTGTCGTTTCCAGCTCCTGACTCATGCGGTGGTGGCAGTGCTACTGCTAATGTTAATGGTGGTTCAGATTATACCTTGGAGAGCCCAAGATATAGCAACGGCATCAACGGAGACCTTGCAGTTCGAATGCCGCGGAGGACAAGCATGTCATCTTGTTACACTGATGGTGAGACATCTCCAACTTCCAGCAGTGAGCTCAGAAGGTACTGGTTTAGGTAATCAAGCAGAAGTATGTGACTGAGTGGCAAATTTGACAAATGACTAGGTACTGGTGGTTACTCTGCTAACTCAATTTCAAATGCACAAATATGTGACTAGAGGAACAATTAACTTTAACTTTTAAGATTTCACTAGATGCTTTTATTCATGTATAATCTTGTTGAATATTCGACATGCAGCAAGATATGAGAGCATTTTTGCTCACGACCCTACTTATCATCATGAAAAGAGTTTAAATTTTGAGATTTGTATCTATCTACTACACATATCTCGAAATTTAAACTCATCCAACAGTAATAAATAGGAATGGTAAGCATCACCATCACTTGACGGTGGTGAGTGGAAGTATTCCCGCTAGATATTGAACAAAGTTGATGACATCTTTCCCCATTGTCTTTCTGGAAATAATACCATGAACAACTGCACAATGCATGCATCAGCAGTGTCTTGTACTACAGAAATGAAGATATTTCTCCAAGAGCCCGGAGATGGTTATCAACTTGTGACATAGATATCGTATCATCATCTGCACTACGTGTGCGAGCTTTTCCAAGGACAGACCCGTAAAGACGACCCCTTCATCCGAAACAAACAAATCATGCAACGACAATGCGCACATGAAAACACTTGGCTCCTCCTTGCAGCCAAATCGTAACTTGAAACTTTACTTTTTGCAGTTATATAAGATATTTTGTGTATGTGGTTAGACGGCCACTAGCAGTTGCTGAGAATTGACTCCTTATTCGAACGAAGAAGGGGCCGAGCAGTGTTCATGCGCATATTATTTAACGTGGTGGATTAAATTACGAATAAAACTTAGTTATTCAAATAATGAGTCGGAGTTCTACATAAAGTTGTTTGTTGTCGATTTACCTAATTTCGTGTTTATAATAAAAATCGTTCATATTATAAATCACTATATAAAGATTATCTTAACAAAAAATCAATTAAAACAAAAGTCATAAAACAAATGAAAGAAATTGGTAAAAGTATTGCGAATCTTTTATATGTTTACTATAATAGATTGACTAAATGACTTAGTATTAATTCATTTTATGAACGATTCTAATTATAAGCACAAAGCTCAGTGATTCGAACATTAAGAGTTTTAGGAAGGATGAATATGTCATAGTGCTTGTCAAAGAGTGAGGAATCATGTACTAAAACGAAAGTACATATCAAATTCATGGCAATCTCGTCATTAGTAGAAGAATCTCACATAAACAAGTCAAAAGTAGATATTATTCCCGACAGAGATCTTGGATGGATTTTGAGAGAAACTTCAGTAGAATTGTCCTGAGACTGATAGGCTAGTACATGCAACAAAACTATAGAAAACAACAAAAAGGTTTAGAATAATAAGAGAAACTTTCTCCCAAAACAAATCCACTTGGAGAATCACAACAAAACTAATCCAAACACAACTACTAGACTAATTTGAAAAGGCAAATGGATTATGCTTTGCTCTGATTCAACCACAGAGAGACAATCTCTGGCTTGGCCCTTGAACTTGCAAGGGTTGGGCTGCTATTACCACTGCTATCAGACGGTGAAACAAACTTTTTCTGAAGAACTCCCGACGGCGGTGACACCGCCAATGGACTGCCCAATTCTCCATTAGTAGTAGTACCGGTTGTGACCGGAGACGAAGGATTTGAGGCCGCGCTAGTGGTCGGTTTAAGGACCTCAGCCAATGGGCCGCCAGGTGCTGAAGCAGGCCACGTCGAAACCCTCGGCATCATCCCATTTCCACTGGTTCCTAAGCTCATCTGAGTCTGACCCATTTCCTCACTGATGGTGTTGTACCCGCCCATCGATAGGGTAAGCGAAGAAGGGGAGAGCTGCCCGCTCGACGGAGCTGAGCTGTTGTCATTGTTGTTAACAGGGTTGGCTTCATCCATCACTGCTTTAGACCATGCATCAATGAAATATCTTGGGGTTTCTTCAAGCAGGGGACTTTCTAAAGGAGCCACATCCGGATTGAGAAACAAATTGCACTCGCCGCAGTCTTGCTGATCCTCTCCGGCGTTGAAATTCGCATACGAATTCAGATTCAAGAAAGACTCCTCTTCGGAACGATTGCTGAAAACAGAGGAATTCGGGTCGAAATACGGGATCTTGGTGCTCAGCTCTGTTTTGCTATGCATCAGTTGGTGCCATTGTGCATCAGATACAGGTTCTCCTTTCATCATCAGCCAGTCCAAGTTCCTGCAGTAGCACAAAACAAAACATTATCAAACAAAAATCATACAATCACGATTCTAATCGAAAAATTTAGTACAAAACACAAATGTTTGGTTCTTTGCTTTGAAAAGATTAACACTCCTACTATTTCATTACACCAAACACTCAAAAAGACAAAAGGGCTCGTTTGGCAACTAGGATTGGACTCGAAGGTAGACTATGTTCCTCGTGAATGAAACTTATCCCGTCCAATCGCCACATAAAAGATAAGTTTACTTCATGACTAATCTTATCCAATCCAATCCAACCTAAGCAACAAACGAGCCCAAAAACTAATCAGATTCGAAAAACAAATCAAAAACCCATCACCGACCTGGGTTCTCTGTTTGCTGAAGCAGAGTTCATAGATTCGAAAGATGCAAACTTTGCACCATCCCTCTCGGGAAACACTGGAGACGGACCGTACGGATGAAGATTAGATCCCATAAACCGAGATGAGCAGACATTTTTGTTGATTCTATTTCCAGGGTTCGAAATCGACACGGTTTCCTGAGATACTGTCGGAAGAGGAGGAGCAAGATTGATGTCGTGGCGAACCCTCTTGCTTGCGGCGGTGGCATGAACTTCCACATGCTTTCTTGAACGGGGTCGGCCTCTGTGCATGTGACGCTCGCAGTACTTCTGGTCCGGCGCTACGTCTCTCGAGCACCGCCATTTTTTCCCGTCTGTTCTCTTGCACCGCCCCGGCTCCGGATCTGTGCTGTTCGATAGCCGGAGATTGAACGTACCTCCCGCTGTTCGCCAACCAAAACAGAGCACCATTAAAAAAAATCAAAACTTTAGTGGAAAACGATATTCAAGAAGCAAAACCCACATCAGGAAAATCGATTTGAAGAACAAATTGAGAAAAAATGGAAGTGATTTCCGCACACCGCTTTTCTCCCTACACAACCTGAGGAGTGCAGAAAGAGAAAACGGATGTGCGGAAATCATTTCTCGAGGGCGAAAACAGAAGGAAAGGGGATTACAGGGAGATTGGGAAGCAGCTGTTGTTCCAGGGGGAGTTGTAGTGAGGGGAAAGAGGAGATCACGGGGAACAGGGAGAGAAGCCACCATGTATTTGTATATCATAGCTTGTCTCTCAAGCTCCTTCCACTGTGCATTTGTGAAAGGAAATCCAAACGACGTCGTCATCCCTCCTGCAAATCAGCAAGCTTTTACACTCTTTTCATAAATAAAGACTCGATCTTTCACACTGCGTTTTGACTCGAAAGGAAAAGGGAATTACAAACCTGCAGAACAAGTGTGTGTTCGAATGTCAAAAGGCTGCAAGTTTCTTAAAACTGCACCACCGCCACTCGAAGAACCAGTACCAGTACTAGCTGCAACGACATCGTCGTATGTAGGAGGAGGCCTGTTACATGTGGGACCACCAGCATCAGGAGCAGGTGTTGTGTCTGATGGTGGAAATGGACGGCGGTGATTATCATGATGGACCATCATCATCTTCTTCTTCCTTGTGTGAGACGCCAAAACCCAAAATCTTTCTTCTTTCTTGCTTTCTTTCTTCACAAAGACTTTTCCTTATTTGGCAAACTTCCTTTCCATCTATCAATCTGCAGACCCAACTTTTTGATTTCTGCTTCTGCTTCTGCTTCTTCTCTCTGCTGCAGCAAGAAAGCTTTATGCTTGATGCTTATTTATCTTCTCTCTCTCTCTCCTCACTTTCTCTCTCCTCTTATTACTATCTTTGTGGTTTATAGTTGGGTGTGCAGTGCATGGGATTTAAGATATATAGTTTAGTGTGTTGCCGCCATTCTCGGCCTCTGCTTTGCTTCCATGCTTCCAACATTCGCACACCACACTTGCTACTAGACAAGAAAACCCTCTCTCATCCCCTCTCTCTCTCTCTCTCTCTCTCTCTCTCATCATTATTGTGGCATCTATCGTTTTATGCATGTAAAGCTAAATCCCGTACAAATCCTGCACCTCTTTTTTCTTTTCTTTTTTCCTATTAGTCTTATTGGGAAGTGGCCACCTCTATCAATTAAGGGCAGCCCCTACTCTTTATTGGAGGGGCGGATAACGAACCCTACTTGATATTCTTCCCCAACCTTTACTTTCATAACATTGTATTATTGATCTGCGATGTTATTATTGCGTGTTTTTTGCATCTACACGTAAGTCTTCGTTCTTTAGTAATGTCGTCTATAATTATAGAGACTTAAACATAATTCAGGACAATGTTTCAGCCTTCCAAAAAGTCTCACAATATAGAAATCTAAGAAGAGACTAGCCCAACTTAAATTAGATTTGACTAGAAACGACATCTCTTATCTCAATTACATCTAATCAAATGAATATTAAAGGAAAAGTAATGTTATTCATATTATGTTTTTATATCACATTTCTATACCATTTTAGATGACATCTGATGTGAACAACCATATCATTTGAAAAATTTGCAAAACCAATGAAAAGAAAGGAGAAAGACTCATCGTATACCACAATCATAATTTAATTAACTGGTTTTTCTTAATTATTAGTTTATTAAATAATGAACTAAATTTAAAAATCTGATTAATTCAAATGATGTAGTTGTACACATCAAACGCCACCTAAGGTGGTATGAATAACATTACTCTTAAAGGAATGAAATCGATTTTTTTCGTCGCCAAATTGTCTAAAGCTTACGCTTTAATATACTTTATCTGCTGAATTACGAGTAGACATTTTACCGGGAAATTCATCTTCGGTCATGCAGTGCTATATTTTAGTCTTGTATGTTTTATTATTTTTTATATATTAAAAGACAGTATAATAAATAATCGTACATTTAAGTATTCATTAATCTAATTAATAAAATCCCAACATGGAGAGTAATAATTAACAAGGTTGACTCACCCACCCTTCGGACATCCAAAATCTCAGTCTCCAAATGAATTATTAATTGTTCTTCTGTATTTGCCAAAATTAATAACAAAAAAGAAAAATAAAGAAAGCAAAATTTACAATAAAATGGAACAGACGGGATGATAACGGCGTCGCATTTGTTTGACGTGATGAGCACCGTTAGGCCTTTAGTTGCATCGGGAACTGCAATGGGCCCAGTGGGCCGAAGACATAATGCGCTATCCACATGTGCCAAAGAGACACCCCCACTCGCTTTCTTTAAGCGCGTGTGTGAAGTTAAAAGGTAAATACCAAATACAATGGTAACTAACAATGTGCACTTGCAGCAGTTTACCTAAAAGGTTATGATCCATCGTTTATGGTGTTATTTTGGTTGAAAAGTGCATTGTAATATATATATATATATATATATATTTCAGTGTTTTTTTTATGTAAGTCATTCTTTTAAATAACAACCGCCTCATTATTAAATTTTTACTTTGGAGTCTCTGACTTATACGCTTTTTGATTGAATCATAAGGGCTTACCTAAATTTTTCTATTTCCTGATAGTATACGTAGAAAAACTACATGGAATTATTTACGAAGCAAAAGAGAGAACAATAATTTTGTTAAAGGAATGAGTGTTATTTACACATGTATTTTACTTTCCGCATATTTCTGTTAATTTTTATTTGTTAATTTTCTTCAATTCATTCGGTTGGACGGTGAAGAATTGAGAGAAATGTGTAAGAAGCTAAAATAAATGCATGAATACCACTACACTTTTATTATCTAAACGAATCAGAAAGATACGTGCTATGGGTAAGTTTTTCAGTAATTAAACCCTCATGAAGAAGGGTTTTTGGTCAAATTTCATTGGTCGATCGAAGCGCTCACGCGGGGCTGTGTGGAAGGGATGCTGGGAAGCATGTACGAAAGGGACTAGACAAGGTGGTGAATGACAAAAGGATTGAATTCTGGGCCACTACTGATCGTCATCTGATTTCTTTTTATTTTATTTTATTTTAAAGAAAGAGACAGCTGGTGCGACAGTCTACTCTTTCACGTCAGAAAGACATAGAGATGTTTCAGCGTTTTTTGGTAATTATATGCGATTCACTAATTTAAGAAATTAAATTCATAATATATTATATAAAATACGAACTTAAAAATCGTTTCAAACCACTTTACTTAGTCTTTATTGGGTCAGAAATCGGTACTTCTTCTATCAGCATTTAAAAGCAACAAGCTTTTTGCTTAGAATCGTCCAAAGGAGAGGGGGTGATTTGATTAGAGCATGTTCACTCATTGGTAGAAGGCAACGACAAAAGCGACAATATTTCTCTACAGATCAAAAAATCTTTTCAAGCAGTCTAATAAAGTAAGGAATAGTGGAGGCCTAATTATTGGCCACCCAAAAGTCTGTGCATATCAATTTGAGACAGACTAACGTTAACCTCAATTTAAATTGCGTGAGAGATTTTGCGTTCGATTCTTATAGCTGACAGCTTTTGACTTTGATGTCTAATTAGCAAGATAACAAGATAACAACTTTTCTAATAAGGGTTGGAACTTGGATGGGTTGAATTGGAATGGAATGGAAGATGGTGAGGTGGCAGCTTGGGGGATGGGACAAACAGCTGGAGGGGTTAATAATGGGTTGTCCCCATCACCTCCCCAATCCATCACCAGTTGCATGGCTTTTTCCTCTTTGTCACCACCCGCCCATTTCGAATCCTCACTTTTTTTCACTCACCAAAAGACACACAAGTAGTTAAATTAAGGATTTGATTTTGGTAATTTTGTAGAAGTGAGGTTTTGTTAACAAAAATCTTCTATCTTCTGGCTCATCAATTTAGTATTGAATTAGTCTTTCTAGTGGGTTATCTTTAAATTTTCTTGTCTCATGAACCTATTCGTTCTATATCAAAATATAAAATGAATCTCTTCTCAATTCCTTCTGATTATAAATGTGATTTCAAGAGCTGAACGAGAATGAACTAAACAGAAGAGTCAAGACCGGACTTCCTAATAAAATGTTTAACTAATCCATGTAGAAGAGAGGTTTTGTTATGAATCTACCCTTTTAAGAATTTAATAATTTGATTTGATTTTAAGTTAAAATTTCAAAATTTGAGACGCAGGTTCATAATAATTAATAAAATCAACCAACATGATTGACGAAAAGTATATATTTATATTGAGTTGACATTTAATGTATTCTATTAAGAGAAGAGAGTTTGTCAACTTTTTGCCCTCTTTGTTCCTATTTTGCTCTACAATATTGACATGATGATGGCAAAATAGTAATTTTGTAACTTTTGAACTCTTTGCCCCTTTTTTCCTAATTTGCCCTCACTTTTGATACACAATATTTACATAAGGAGGGCAAAATAGTAATTTTATATCAAAAATATTTACATAAGATAAAAATATGCACTTATCAAGAGAAATTGTCTCACCATCATTTTTTTCATACAAGTAAATGAAATCATGATGTTTTTTGGATAATTTAAATGAACTGAAGCGGTTGTGCTTGAGGAGAACGTGGGAGGAGGTGGACGATTGTTCACACACAAAGTGTGTGCTCTCTGCTAGTATATCATTATAATAACATAGTGCTTAATTATAATAGTATACATGTATGTTTATACTCGCAAGTAATTTAAGAGGAGACCAACATAGTCGGTGATCAATTGCGAAACTGGTCCCATAACAAATCTCCATCCTTTCCCTCCCACCTTGAAAAGTAAATTTGAAAAGAAAGAAATATGAATGTGATGGAACATACCAAATCCAATCCAGTTTAGTTCTCCTACCCACAAATACAATCCACATCTTGTAACAAAAATTTGTGTATGTGTTTTCCCGACAACGTACTCGTATTATACCTTAAACATAAATTTAAAATCTGTCATATTTTAATCTCACTTAACTTCATACGATGTTTAATTAGCGAGCAAACTATCGTAGTCGTGCAACCCTAAGAAATACTGTCTCATAATCCACATGTGCATAAAAAGTTAGAGAAATGGTTGAGCACTGAACCAAGTCGGTATATAGATATAGGAAGTCCATGTGCGATGAGAGAGAGAGAGAGAGAGAGAGAGAGAGAGAGAGAGAGAGAGAGAGAGAGAGAGAGATTGCTTGGAACTTGGGAGAGTGTCTCCGACAAAGGAAGAATATAGTATAACATCGGCATGGACCGCTTGTCCTCCCTCCATCTCCCTTTTTACGTCAATGCTTTCCTTCAAAGTTCAAATTCAATCAATCAATAATAATGTATCAACGTTCAATGTTTGGTTTTTCTTTTTTTCGAAAAAGAAAATTAGATGATGGTTTTTTTAGAAATCGAGAAGACTCGCACATGTATTTTAGTTTTTCCTAATCAGTCTAATATTACATAGGTTAAAAAAATTTACAAAACTATTTCAACATTTCTTAGTCACCATTGTGTGATTTCTCAGAGTCAGAAATCAAACTCTTGACCAACATGTAGAATGAGTCTAAAATTCATACCTAAATCCGTAGTGCTTGTCGAGTTTGACAACTGAATCCAATAACGATATGAAAAAGCGTGCCATGAAAAGCTATCGGAAGCTACCACCGCCAAGGAAACACAAACACACAAACTCTCCTTTTTTTTCTTAATTTACACTTTTTATTATATTCCTATTTTTTTTGTGGCCAGATGGCCCAGATCAAGTGTTATCATTTTTTATGATTAAGTTCTGCGCGCACATACAAATTTTGATCCTCTGAGCCCTCAGGAAGCAGAGGAGCAGCATCGTCCGGTGGTAGTGGTTAGGGAATGAGGGAATAGGGATGGGCTTTCACACCTCAAGGGAAAGGAGCACACAGATACTGACCTAACTAATTCCCCCAGAGAAATGCTAACGTACCTCTCTTAAATTGGGACTCTTGCTCTCATATCTCACAGTTTAACATTAATTCTCGTAGCAGCATTATAACACATCATACAAAAGCATAATGTGACAGAAAATTCATGAAAAACCTCACTTTTAAAAGAAATCATCATCATCAAACAATCCGAGCCTTTGAAATTTAATCCAACGGTTACAAACACAGTCCCACTTTAAAAGTTATAATAACTTTAACCGTTTGATCAAATTTTAAAA